TGAATTTTGCCATCGTAATAGAATATTTGCCACTTGAATTGAGCAAATAATATTGACTTGGGAGGAACATTCTTGTAGCTTGCACGACCATCCATTAAATCTTGCTACTGATGAGCAATGTAATATACTTCGGATCTCGGACCTGAAATTTGCTATTGAACTTCACTCTCTCCAAATTTTGAGCCCCGTATAAATTGAACCTTTAATATGGAACATAGTGACTTTGAGAAATTGACCCGATTGAACTTCATCACAAAGCGACCCATGACATTGCACCTCTTATTGATGATAGAAACCTGAACTCTGTATGTTGATGATACACCCATTGGTATTACAATTTGTTGAGCTTGAAAAATACCTGAGAAAATGAATTGTTGATGACTTCCGGGGTTGAATCTATTGATAAGCCCATCATGTAAATCTTATTATAAAAATGACTGATTGTTGCAACCCTTAGCATAGTAGACATCGTGCCTGAACTCTTGGCATAAAATTTCCTCGTAGAATTTGTTGAATTCATGGACTCTCTGTGAAACGAATAGTTGATGCCGAAATTTCATTCGAATGTGTTGCTTTAATTCCAATATTCTGAATTTTTAATACGGCCAACTCCTTGCTATTTATACCTGTTATTTTAGCCATATGTCTTCTCGAAAGAAACCCGTAGTCCCGGGGTCATCAGAACTGGCTCTCATGAAAGAGAGGGATGTACCTCCGGCATCTGAGTGGAGGAAATCTCCTTATTTTGGTCGGAAGGACCCCTTCTGGCGGGCGGCTACCTCCACCACTTCTCTTCTATCTCCGAAGGGGGCTCCATTATGTCTCACTGAGGACACTGACTTTGGACATGAGGCCCTCATTTCTCCTTCCTCGGTGCTACACTTTCGGATTGAGCGGGGGGACTTTCCGTACTGTTATCCTCAGTTCAAGGCCTTCTTAAACCCTCCGTTTGGTTGGCAGAAGTGGGTCGATGATGTCCTCTCGAACAAGAGCCTCTGTCAGCGGCTTCAGGAGGCTCGACTATTGATCCCGATGAAAATATCTCGATCCCTATCTATCCGTCGCAACAATGCTAGCCTGGAAGCCATGGCTCTTCGGTGGAGCACCGAGACACACACCTTTATACTTGGCCAGCACGAGATGGGGCCCACCCTTGAGGATGTGTTCATGTTGCTGCGTCTGGAAGTGACCGGCCCTGATGCCTTCGACCCTGAGCAAACATCCCCCGAAGATGATTCATTGATCCAATCTCTGAAGCTAAATCTTCAAACTTGTGGTCAGTGGAGTTCCGTTTTTGATGGTTCAGCGAGGAGGACTAGTTGAGTAAGGACGGACCGTGCCTCCTATACTGCATGGATCCGCCACTTCTTCAAAGATCTTCAGCCCTTGGCCAGAGATACTGATCTTGACTCTCGGGAGTATGAAGCCGGTCCGATGTATGGCTCCAGGCTCTATTTCTTGGGATTTCTGGCTTGCTTCCTTTCATTCTTCATTCTTCCGAGCACACCTCCGGATTCCCTCAATCCTTTCGTCTTCCCCTTGGCAGTCAGGCTCTTCAGAGGAGATCGGATCCCTTTGGCTCCACTATTTCTTGGGAATCTCTACTATCGGCTGGATCTACTACATCGAGATATGGTTCGCTCCGTGGGTCGATATGAGCCTGTCTCCTTTATTCACAGCCAGTTCCTGCTATGTTTCTTCTTCGAGAGGTTCCCAAAATTTGCCCCTGCTCCGACTGTATTCGAGGCGGAGGTTCTTCGGGAGATAGTGGATAAAGATGGCATCCCCGTGCTCGATACTGATGGGTCTCGGACATTTGAGAAAGCGAAGTCTTGCCAGCCGTTGATTACACGGTGGTCACGTACCATTTCCACCTTATCCTTGAATACTCTGGTGGATGATCCCCGACGCTTTGTGGCACGGCCGTATGTATGCCCACCTGTGGGTGTGGCCACACCGCTTATCTATCATGGTTCCTCCCGCTCGGTGTCCTTTCCTTTGCCGAAGAACATCCCTGCACCCTTTGTTGATATGCTGATTATGATCCGTCCGAGTTCATTACCGGTATGGCATGAGGAAAGCGTTGATAGTGCCGTTTATAGGCCTGACCGTGTAGCATGTCAATTCGGGTTTGATCAATGTACCCCGGGGCCAGCACCTCCTTTATTATCATTTTCAGAGAGCTACGGGCGCTTCAGTCGCGGGCTTGTACACACTGTGTTTCCCATATCCGGCTCTTTGACGATGCCAGGCTTAAGCCGAGTAGGGGCTTTCACCCCCTCCTTTAGGCGATATTGGCGGAAGAATATCGATGCATTTATTGCATTTGTCCAGAGCAGACCAACCGTATGTTTGCCTCCGCCGATTTATAAGAAGGATTCTTCTCTTCGGCTACCCGAGAGCCGGAAATCTGATCACATGTACGAGGGTTTCTTCACTTCATCTGCTCCAACTGACTCTTCTGCTCGGGCGTTTGCTTCTAGCTTGGCAATTACTTCTCCAGAGCCAGTCCCTTTGAATAAGGCCTCTGGTCCTCGGATGACCCGCCTTAAGAAGATGGCTCACGAGAGGGCTTTTGATGCCAGTCCTTCCGCTCCTCGCCTTTCCAAAAGGCTTCATGAGGTACCCGAAATTTTTGATTTGAAGCTACTTTCCTTCTTTCGACTATACCTTATACCTTCTAAAATGAAAACTTTTATTTGCCCATGTTGTATAGGACCCTACGGTTGTTGACGTTCTCAGTACCGTGGCTCCTGGCCATGCTGCCTCCCCCAGGCCGGACTCAGACTTGGACGACACCCTCCCTTTGTCTGCAAGACTTGTGAAGATGCGCACCTCTCGTATAGCAGTTATAGATGATGATGATGATTTTGAAGCTACTTTCCTTCTTTCGACTATACCTTTACCTTCTAAAATGAAAACTTTTATTTGCCCATGTTGTGTAAGACCCTGCGGTTGTTGACGTTCTAAGTACCGTGGCTCCTGGCCATGCTGCCTCCCCCAGGCCGGACTCAGACTTGGACGACACCTTCCCCTTGTCTGCAAGACTTGTGAAGATGCGCACCCCTCGTATAGCAGTTATAGGTGACGATGATGATGAGGCTGAGTCCTCCGATCATTTTTGTGACCCTATTCCACGCATGCGTCGTCACCGCCCTACCGTAGCTGAGGAGGAGCACTATCTTGGTGACGAGGTTATTGGGGCTCACCGTTCTGATGTTGAGATCGCTGGAGGGACTGATGCCACAGAAATTGATGCCGCAGGCCATGCTTCTAGAAGCAATGTAGAGATGAGATGCGCCTCTGGGAATGGTGTGGAGGTGGATGTGCTAGAAATCTTTGAGACTCGCTCTGGCACTTATGGTGATTCTCATCCTCCGGCCCTCGTTCCTTCTTCAGGGATGACTGCTACTGTTCAGGCTTCATCAGACATTGAGATCGATCAGGTGGTCTCCATACGGCCAAGTGATTTTGTTGATGCTAGGAGTCCTTCAGTTGCTCCGGCTTTGCATATTGATTCTCCCTCTGGTAATCTTTCTTTCTGAAGTTTGTCATTTACTTCTATCTGTGAGAAATCTTTACTTAAATGACTTTCTTGTTCCCTACCTCTAATAAGGCTTCCTTATCTTTTCTTCAGTGTTAGCTGCTACCGGGGTCCTGCCTTCACCTGCCTCAAACTCTGCTCCAGTGTTAGCTGCTACCGGGGTCCTGCCTTCACCTGCCTCAGACTCTGCTCCAGTGTTAGCTGCTACCGGGGTCCTGCCTTCACCTGCCTCGGACTCTACTCCGACTCTCTTTGTGACTCCTCACGGTTCTCCTTCTCAAGGGGGGACACCTGCCTTTGAGACGACTGCCAGAGGTTCTTCATCGCCAGTGCCTTCGAATATTTTGGGTTTGAATCTTAGTGATTTCCACATTGATAGTGATTTCCACATTGATAGTGATGCTTTTGGTCTTTCCCCTTATCGTTCGGCATTCTCAGGCTCGGGACCTCTGCCGGGAGTTACCCCTCCGGGTGGTTCGTCTAACCCGATAGACATTGGGGAGATTCCTGAGACTAGCAGCTTTCCGGCCCCAATTACTCCTTCGGCTTCTGGCAAAGTATCATTTCTCTATTATTGGGTAGCTCCTGAGTTTGCTTCAGTTCTACAGCTTGTACATTCGAGTTACCCGGAGACCTTTGCTTCATTTGCTTGCCAGTGTCCACTCATTCAGACTGCTCTTCTCGAGTCTTTTGCCACTATCTTATATAGCTTGAACAGGCAACGGTTGTGTGACCTTAATGGGAAAGTAGTCGAGACGGCGTATCAGGGGATCTCTGACATGGAGCGTCACCAAGTGGACTTATCATGGCTTCGGAAGCGCCAGGATATAGCTTCGAATGCCAGTTATCGGGTGGAACTTATGTCTGTGCTTGCCTCTTATCGGACCTCTATAGATGAGACAAAGGCAACTCTTCGTGAACTTGAGTCGGGTTATGCTCGGGCCTTGGAGACTTTAGAGGCACACTCTACTGTTTGTCCTCCAGATGTAGATGTGACGGGCAGCTTCTTCAAGGGTGTCTTTAGGAGAGATTGATTTTTTTTTTTATTACTTTCTTGCCCCTTTCGATAAAAATGTTTTATCTAGGACAATGCAATGAAATGATAAAATTTTTGATGTTTGGCTATTTTCGCATTGTTTTCTCATTCTATTTGATAAAATATTTATTTTGAATGATACAATGGAAAGAACAATCATACGCACATGTTTATAAAAGCTGAAATATTCTCATTAGTTCTTCAACTTTCTTTGACAGAAGTATAATAGATTCACTGCAAGTGATGGGATAAAACATACACCATAGAGAAAACCAGCTTCTTCATAACGTAAGGGAAATACAACTTTTAGACAAAGTAAGAAAATGAAAATGAATTTCAACATAGATGAGTCTAACTATGGATAGTAATGCTTGATAAACTTTGCATTGAGCGGGCCAGTTCGGAAGCCATCTTCAACCCTTACAAGCTTGTAGTACCCGCTTGAGCTCGCCTGAACCACCCCACCTTGTAGGGCCCTTCCCATTTTGGAGAAAACTTGGGTAAAGGCTGTCCTCGCATGATTGGGTCTACAATCTTCCATACTAGATCACCTTCTTCAAACTTCCTTGGTATCACAGTCTGGTTATAGGCTCGGGCGATGGACTCATGATACCTTTCCATGACTTTTGCAGCTCTGTCATGCTTTTCCTCTAATGCTTCCAATCTGGTGGTTCGAGGCTCCAATACCATCCCCGAGGCGAGAGCCATTCGAGCAGATGGTGTTTCCAACTCTATAGGTAACACTGCCTCGGACCCATACACAAGGGAGTAAGGAGTTGCATGAGTCGGCTTTCTCTTTGAAGTGCGATACGCCCATAGGGCTACTATCAACTGTTCGGACCAAGTCACCCCAAATTCATCCATCATCTTGCTTAGAATCCTTATCAGTGTCTTGTTTGTGGCCTCCGTTTTCCCGTTCCCTTTTGGATAGTATGGTGTGGATTTGTGATGCTTCACTTGGTAAGTCTCTAGGAGGCTCTTCACATATTTGTTTATGAAGAAAGTGCCGTTATCCGAGAGGATGGTGTTTGGTACCCCAAACCGGCAAATGATATTCTCCTTGATGAAGTTCGCGACTGCAAGCCCCGTAGCGTTCTTAAGAGGAATTGCTTCGACCCACTTTGTGCTCAATTCTGTGGCTGCAAGAATCCACTTGTACCCCTTAGAAGGTGTGGAGATGGACCCTATCAGATCAAAAGCCCATGTATGGAACGGCCATGGCGTTCGGATGCTATGCAGGTCTACGGCTGGAGCATGGATCAAATTTCCGTGTTTCTGACAAGTCTGGAACCTCTTTACGTGATGGGATGCATCTGACTCCATGGTCGGCCAGTAATACCCAAGGTGTATAAGCTGCTCGAACAGCCGAGCCCCTCCTTGATGTTCAATCTCGTGAGCTCTTCTGAGGACTAGATCTGACTACTCCTTGGAGAGACACCTCAGGGGAGTGCCCTCAATACTTCTTCTGTAAAGCTTGTCCTGATCAAGAAAGTACAGCCTCGCTCTCCTCTTGAGGTGTGCAATGTCCTTCGAGCTCTCAGGTAGTGTTCCCTCTTTGAGATAGTCAATGTAGACTTGCCTCCAGTCAGGGGTATCAATTTCAAAGCAACTCTCATCCTCCCGGATATATGACTAACACTTGGGGCATTCCTTCTGTAATTGATTCGAGTCCTTCTCCATCTCGGGCCAATAATAGCCCTGTCTTTGGATTCTTCTGTACAGACTGATATCCCCATCCCCGCAAAACTTTTCATGGATCTGTTGTAGTCGAAAGCTTGCTTCTTGTTGGCCAACACACCGGGCTAGGAATCCGGTACCTCCTCGGAAGTACAGTTCACCTTGAATAATTATGAATTGGGCAAGCTTGGCCATAGTCAGTTTTCCAATTTTACTTCTGAGTTGTTCAAGGACTTCTGCTCTCCAGTCCTCTGGAAGGTCTTCGTCTTCGGGTATTATTGAAGGCTCTGTTCTCTTATTGATAACAATTGTCACCTCCTCCTCTGGGATATCGACTCTTGCCCCTAATGTTGCGAGGACATCTGAAAACTTGTTGTCAGAGCGAGGCACATGCTCTATTTCGACCTTCTGAAATTTGTCAAGAAACCTTTGGACTGTTGTTCGATATGTGGCCAAGGCAGGCTCCTTTAAGACGAACTGTCCTGAAACTTGCTTCACTATCAGCTTTGAGTCCCCCCGGATCCGAATCTTCTTGATACTGTGCTTCTCAGCTGCTATCAAGCCTAAAACAAGAGCCTCATACTCGTCTTCATTATTCGAACAATGGAAATCCAGTTTATAAGACAAATATAACTTTTCCCCACTTTTGCTTGTAAGGACTATCCCCGTTCCTCCTTTCCCTCCGGCTGCCGCTCCGTCAAAGCTTAATGTCCAAAAGCTTTCCTCGGAAGCCATAACTGCATGCACCTCTCCTCTTAATTCTTCATTCACTGGTTCATAGTCACCACTTGGAAATTGAGCAAGGAGATCAGCTAAGGCTTGGCTTTTGATTGCCTTGGGAGCTACACATGTGATCTCGAATTCACCCAATGCTAACAACCATCTTGCCACCTTCCCGGTTAGAGCAGGCTTGCTGAGGAGGTATCGGATTGGATCACTTCTAGTAACAATCTGAATCTGATGTGCTAAGAAGTAATGTCTGAGTTTTTGGGCGATAAATACCAAAGCTAAACAATGTCTCTCTACCGGAGTATATCGAACTTCTGCTCCTCGAATCTTCCGGCTGATGTAATACACCGGGCGTTCTGTTCCTTCTACATCTTGGACCAATAATGCCCCTATGGACTTGGGGGTTGAAGTTAGGTACAACATTAGAGGGACCCCGGGCTGCGGGGCTATCATGGTCTGAGGCGAGGTTAAGGCCGCCTTGATTCTCTCAAAGGCCTTTTGGTGCTCTTGGTTCCACTCGAACTTGGCATCTCCTTTTCACAAAGAGCCGAAAGGCACAGAGATCTCTGCCAGTGCTGGGATAAACCTCCGAATATAAGACACCTTCCCGAGGAACTTCTTTAACTCCTTCTGAGAATGCGGGGGAGGCATTGCTCTGATAGATTTAACCTTGTCTTCATCTGCCTCGATATCATGTCTGTGTACAAGAAACCCGAGGAACTTCCCAGCCGTCACCCCGAAAGCACATTTGAGAGGATTCATCCTCATTTTGAATTTTTGGCACCTCTTGAATACCTTCTCAAGGTCTCGGAGATGGTCTTCTTCTTTCTTGGATTTCACCACTAGATCATCAACATAATCTTCCACCTCATGATGGATCATGTCATGAAAGATTGCAGTCATAGCCCTTTGGTAAGTTGCACCGGCATTCTTGAGTCCGAAAGGCATGACTGTATAGAAGAAGTTTCCGAGAGGTGTTCTAAAAGCAGTCTTTTCTGCGTCCTCTTCAGCCATCTTAATCTGATTGTATCCACTGAATCCATCCAAGAATGAGAACATCTGGTGTCCCGAGGTAGTATCCACGAGGGTGTCGATGTGAGGAAGAGGGAATTCATCCTTCGGGCAAGATTTGTTCAAATCTCGAAAGTCTACACATACTCTGATTTGACCATTCTTCTTCTTTACTGGCACTATGTTTGCCAACCACGTGGGGTACTGTATTGGCCGGATGAAACCAGCCTGTTGAAGTTTTTCAATCTCCTCCTTAATCTTCTCTTCGAGATCTGGATGATATTTTCGAGCAGCTTGCTTAATTGGCTTGGAGTTTGGGAACACATCAAGATAGTGGGAGACTAGGTTAGGATCTAGTCCGGGCATTTCCTTATATAACCATGCAAACACATCTGAGTATCGGCTTATCAACTTTAACAACTGTTCCCACTTCTCTGGGCTAAGGCTCGAACTTACGAGTACCGGCCTCGGTGCATCTTGTCCATCACTCAAATCTATTTCAATAAGTTGTTCAGGCTGAGGCCCATCTTGCATGCATTCTGGTGCCACTTCAGGCTTTATTACTATATCCTTGTTAGGAGGCTCTTCTTTTGACTCGGAGTCAGTGACTGAAGAAACCGACTCCCCGCACCTTCATAAATAGTACACCATCTTGCCTCCTTCTCGAACTTTCATCACCTTCCGAGGAATAGGTGGACTTTCTGGTCTAGACATCGCCCGCTTACTTGATTCTGCCATCGGCTCCTTGTCATCTTTGATATCCTCCCAACGAGGAATTTTGACCCCTCGAGGCTTAGAGGTGGTGGGAACTTCTTCGACAGCCAATTCGGTGAAGTAGATAGCATCAAAATAATGAGCTTCATGGATCTCGAAAGGCCTTTCTGTAGCTTGAATTGTCATCGTCTTCTTTCTCCATTTAGCCTTAACACACTGATGATAACTTGATGGTACAGCCCCATATCTACGCATCCAGGTCCTCCCTAAAATGATGTGATAATTTGCCTCAGAATCGATAATATGGAACTTGGTGGCCGAGTGAATCTCTCCGACGGCTAAATCAACTGTTACGCATCCGATAGTAACTCTCCTTTCTCCACCGAAGCCAGTGATGACTATCGGCTGCTTCACAATGCGTTCTTCAGAGATTCCGGCCTTTTCTAGAGTAGTGCGAGTCATAATGTTGATAGAGGCTCCACTATCTAGAAAGGCCCTTTTGAACTCAACTCCGTTAATAAAAGCAGTCACATAAAGCGGGCGATTGTGAGAAAAAGGATACTTCCAATCAGCCTCAGAGAAAGTAATGGCACTAGATTGCTCTTTTGCCTTCCTCAGGATAGACCCCTCAGTCGACATGCATTCCTCATGGTGTGCCTCGACTATATTAATGATAGACTTGGTGATTTCTGTTCTTGCCTCCCTGGAAAGTCCAAGCTGGTCAAAGAACTGCTTGAACTTTACACAGTCTTGCAAGGTTTTGGCATAGTGATCCGGATCTTTTTCCACTCTTGGAGGCTCGTAGTTAACCATCTCAAAATAAGATGCCACATAAACATGGTGTCCTCATCTTCCGTAGTACTCTTCTCCTCCTTCTAGATCGAAGGGATCCTCGCCATGAGTCATAAATGTTCTGCCCTCTGGATCGAAAGCACTTCCATAGTAAACTTGCCCACCCTCTGGTTCGAGGATGTCGTCCAGATAACAATCATCGTCATCGAGATTGGCGATAGCCTCGATCATCGGGCCTTCATAAGCTATCATAGCAACATTCTTTCCCTTGTCTCGGTGCTGAGGATATGGTTGTTCTCGAATGTCTTAAGTCCCTTGCTTTTTGAACCTCAATTCGTCTGCCTCGACTTTATCTCTGAAGATTTTCCTGAGGGTCCAACACTTCTCTGTCGGATGTTTCAATGTACGATGGTAGACACAAAATTCAGGGCTATCGCGGTCCTTTTTTGATGGCATTTCTTCGACGTAAGGCAATTTTAGCTCTCCGTCGGCCACCCATTCCTTAACTAGAGCTTTCACTTCCTCGATTCCACATGGATAAGAAACATTCCCCTTTTCATCATTATATTGCTTTCTCTTCTGGCCTCTATGACCTCCTCCTTGTTAATTTTAGGTATCTGGGGCAGAGGCAGCAGCAACGATAGGTCCACGAGACGATTTGAAACTAGTCTTGTAACTGGCCTTAAATCTGGACTCTTGAGCCTGAGGAATGCTAATGTTCCGAGCTGCTTCTATTAATGCCGAGAAGGTGGGTAGCTTGTGATTAACTAGAAACATTTTGTACCTGTTCAATGCCACTTCTAGACAAATTTGAACCAGATAACTCTCCTCCACTGCTTCATGGCAATCCACGGCCTTGTCTTGAAACCTTTTGACGTAGTCAAGGATGTCTTCACTTTCCTGCTGCTTTTCTTTACACAATGTAAGTGTGGTCACCTTCTCCGCCACTTGAAAGAACTTATAGTGGAATTTGTTGACCATTTCCTCCCAACTTCGGACAGAGTTTGGGGCCAAATTAACATACCAACTATATGCTCGGTCGGTGAGGGACTTAGAGAATTCTCTCAGCCGGAGGACGTGGTTTGAACCATGAATACCCAGAGTCTCGATGAATCGCACAACATGTTCTCGGGCATTTCCTTGTTTGCCGTCGAACTTGATAAACTTCGGCACTGTATACCCCTCAGGGTATGGATAGCTCAGCATCTCAATAGGGTAAGGCGGCTTGACGGCTTCGGCCCATCTTGCATACATTCTGGAGCCACTTCAGGCTTTATTACTATATCATTGTCAGGAGGCTCTTCTTTTGACTCGGAGTCGGTGACTGAAGAAACCGACTCCCCGCACCTTCATAAATAATACACCATCTTGCCTCCTTCTCGAACTTTCATCACCTTCCGAGGAATAGGCGGACTTTCTGGTCTAGACATCGCCCGACGATGTAGAGAAAATAACTTTTAATGGAGATACATAATATAGAGGAAATAAATTTCTTCATAACATAAGAAAGATAGAACTTCATGGACAATGCAGTAAATGCAAACTGTAAATGTCATAGATAGACTTCTTCTACGGAATGTTGAAATTTGCCCCTAGAGTTGCAAGATCATTTGGAAAGCTTTCACCAGCTGCTCGGGTTGTGGCCATCATGCACCATCATAAATAGTACACCATCTTGCCTCCTTCTCGAACTTTCATCACCTTCCGAGGAATAGGCGGACTTTCTGGTCTAGACATTGCCCGCTTACTTGACTCTGCCATCAGCTCCTTGTCATCTTTGATATCCCC